GCCAGGTAGAGGGTGCATAAATCATATCTTCACTCTCCGACAGAACCTAGAACATAGACACACTTTTAGACGTCCAACAATTGCCATATTTCTTGACTTGAAGGCGGCCTTCGACTCCGTGGATCGAGAGGTACTATGGCAATGTTTGACTATGAAGGGAGTGCCAAGAAAGTACATTGCACTAATCAAGGCACTCTACTCAAACTAACGTAGCTGTGTAAGGGCTTATGGGGAATTGTCATCTGAATTGATAACAACCAGTGGTGTCCGTCAAGGATGTCCACTTTCCCCATTTCTGTTTAACTTCATCATAGATATGCTAATGGAAGTATCCTTAACTGAACTTAACGACTTAGGAATCGACTTGTTACCAGGGAATAGTCTTATAGACTTAGAATACGCAGACGACATAGTCCTGTTAGGGTAGGACGCTGACAAAATGCAGAGTCCTCTGAACACCTTGAGCAGCAATCTTCGTATGTTTGGCATGCGATTGGCCCCTGTGAAATGTAAGATGCTGCTACAGGACTGGACTACGTCAACTCCAACCTTAGTGATAGGGAGTGAAGTGATAGAACATGTTGACCACTTCACCTATTTGGGAAGTTGTATCAGCACCAACGGATTGATTGGTGACGAAATCACAGCACGGATTCAGAAAGCTCGGGCTGCTTTCGCTAACTTACACCGTCTCTGGCGTAGGCGTGACATCCGACTGTCAACCAAGGGACGTGTGTACTGCTCAGCAATTCGCTCCGTCCTTCTCTATGGCGGTGAGACGTGGCCATTGAGAGCGGAAGACATGAAGAGATTGTCTGTTTTTGACCACAGATGTTTACGATCACATTCTCGCGTTAGTTGGTGTAATAAGGTAAGGAATGTTGACGTTAGGCGTAGAGTGTTTGGCAAAGCGTGAAAATCACTCGAAGAGGCTATGAAGTTACATAGATTGAGATGGTTAGGTCACGTGCTGCGCATGCCTAGCCACCGTCTCCCCCGACGGGCATTACTAGCTGATATAGGTAGGTGCAGGTTGGAAAAGAGTAAGTGGTGGCCAAACAAAAACATGGCATCAATCAATCCATGAAATCCTTGACAGTTAAACTGAGTCAGGTAGGGAGGGAGATGCAGACTTCCGGGTTGGGGCCAGCCCTCGGGACTCTAAGAATCAATGGCTGGAGACAGAC